CAGAGGTATGTATGTATTCAGCTCCAAACGGTTTCCTCATCAACATACTTTTCTCTTCTCTTCTTCCGCACTTGTCATTTTCGCCCCCAATTTCTCTTCAGGATTCTGATGTGGTACTGACGACGTTTCCGCTGAAGAGCTTGCTGCCGGCTGGCTCCCTTTCTCCACTTTTCTCTTTCTATTCAGCAATGAATTCAGTCGAGCCTGTTTCTCAGCGCTACTGGCCATGCCGTGATTTCCTGTCGCCTTATCTGAAAATGAAATGGGTTGCAGTACTGTCAACTTGGTTTGCCTATCGAGAAGCAGGAATGTGTACTCATGGTATAAATTCAGTAGCAATTTTTCGCAACAGATTAATTGAAAACCCCCGGCACTGTTTCTTTGAGACAATCTAGCAAATACTGTTTCCGCGCTTGTTGATTACCGCGATAGAAATACTAATAAAGAGTGCTTGTTTGCTCTCTTTTGAGATGCGCCATGTACTCGAATTCCACACAGAACTGTAGTGACTTTTCAATACCTACTCAGCATGCTTTTTTATTTGCGAGGTAAGGATGTGGCGCTCATTGTCAGTATTGTTATCGGGGTATATGTCGCGCTCCACCAAATTTCAACAATTTTACGCTCCCCCACACCCTCTCTTGGGGAGATCCCGTTTCCACCCCCAAAATCACCGCACGTGAATGGGATCACTCACAAATACGACGGCGTTCGCTATTTTCCAAGGTTTGACCATTGTCAACCACAAACACAACCTCCTCCCCTCCCCTTTCGACTGACTAAACAAAAGTTCTATGAACTCGATCAAATCTGGCACCAAACACCCAGCAATTTCAGACCCTGACCACCTCTCCGAAGATGTTCGTGAGAAATGGACATAGCTTGTAAGCACAGAATCAGTTTTTGTCTTGAAAGAGCGCAATATGGAGATGGCTGAAATAACTTTCTAAGAAGAGGATCCACAAAACTTTACACGCTACCAAGTTTTCATAAATTTCATAACGAGTTGACGCCAAAGGGCTCATCGTCAGAACGACAGTACTCACTTGTTCTGGCACATTCCGCTCCCTAAGCGACCTCCATAGCTGCTCGCGGTAGCCGGTCGAACGCCTTCTCCAGGTCGAGGAAGGCTAGGTAGCAAGGCCTGCGCTTTTCGCGATACTTCTCCATCACTTGCCTTGCGATGAAGATGGCATCCGTTGTAGACCTTTCGGGCATGAACCCGAACTGTTCCTGGGAGATCGGGACCAGCTCCCGCAGTTCGAGTCGACCAGTCGCTCGTACAGCTTCATTGTATGAGCAGTCAACTTGATCCCGCGGTAGTTGGAGCAGTCCATCGCGTCACCCTTCTGCTTGAAGATGGGGACGATAGTACTTGTTCTCCAGGCATCTGGCATCCTTCCTTCCGCAGTTACCCTGTAA